TGAGGCAGGAGAATCACTTGAACCCGGGAGGTGGAGGTTGCAGCGAGCCGAGATCGCAAACTGCACTCCAGCTTGGGCGACAAAGTGAAAAAAAAAAAAAAAAAAAAAAAAAGACACAACATTTCAGCTAGACAGGAGGGAGGTAAGAGAGATTTTGAGGGTTCTCACCAGAAAAAAATAAGTATTTAAGGTAACATATATGTTAAAATGCTTGATTTAGTCATTCAATAATGTATACATATACCAAAACATCATGTTATATGGCAAAAATATATGTAATTTTTACATGACAATTAAATTTTCTTTAAAAAAAATAGCGCTATGTTAAATATCCAAATTGGGAAATAATTTTCCTTACCTTACATTGCATTAATTTTAACTTCCCTTTTAAACGCCATGTAGTTAAGGGTATAGTGCTAGAAATGCAATTCAGAAATGGTTCCTTAAAAAATAAAAATCTATAACAACATACCATATTCTGTTCATTTGAGTATATCCATATTATAAGAATAAGTATAAAATGAAATATTTTTGTTTGAAAACCACTGCTATCGTTTAAAATGTTATAAAACAGCAAATGTTTTATTTATTACTATTAATAATAGCAACATCATAACAACCAATGTTTTATTATTATTCTTTTTTAAACCATAATTTATTAACAGCTTGAATATACTTTCTACTTAATATTTCCATTTTAGCAAGTAGGTCTCTCTTTATCAGATGTGAGAAAAACAGGGCATTATTTGTGCTCCTGAATAATGCTAACTACCATTCTTGTGGCTGGGCTGTAGACATCTACACACTGGCAACTCCACAAAATAGAAGAACATTTATGTTTTTTTTTTGTTATTTCTGTTCTAGGTTTTTACTGCTGTTATCTGACCCTCTATCTCACATAGTTGGGAGCAGAAGTGAAAGGTCAAGGATGAAGATCCAGCTCCTGTGACTGTCTCCATTGTAATGAAAATCTGTTATCACACAATTTTGTTCTCATTCTTTCCCAAATGTATCTAACAAATGGATAACTACCGATTGTGTCATTAAAATCAGTACACAAAGGAACAGATTAGAGAGTCCAACACAGACCCACATATACAAGGACAGCTAATTTTTGACAAATGTGCAAAGGCAAGTCAGTGGTGAAAAGACAGTCTATTCAACAAACAGTGCTGGAAAAACTGTATATCTACATCAAAAGAAATAAACCTTCAATCCATACCTTGTACTTTTTGCAAAACTGTACCACACCTAAATGCAAAACCTAAAAGTATAAAACTTAAAAAAAAAAGGAAGAAAATAATTGTGACTTTGGGTTAAGCAAAGATTTCTAAGAGATGACACCCAAAGTATGCTCCATAGAAGAAAAACAAGATAAATTGTACTTCATCAAAATTGCGAACTTCTTATCCCAATTACCTTGATTTGACCATTACACATTGTATTCATGTATTAAAATCACATGTGCCCCAAAATATGATGTATGATGTATCAATATAAGAATTACTAACGTTTCCTCTTTAAAAACAGTAAAAGACACCCTTAAGAGAATTCAAAGAAAATATGCAGTCTGAGAAAAAATATTTGCAGAAGTTATAACTGACAAAGAACTTGCATCCAGAGTATATAAAGAACTCTCAAAGAAATATAAATTAAGATCACAATGAAATACTACTGAATACTTATTAGAATGGCTAACTTTTAAAACATTGCCCATATCAAATGTTAGCACTGTTGGTGGAAATGCAAAACAACCACTTTGGAAGATAGGTAATTTCTTAAAAAGTGAAACATACACCTACCATGTGATCTAGTCATTCCAGTCCTATGTATTTTGCTAAAAGAAATTAAAACATATGTCCATACAAAACTGATATACAAATGATCATAGCAGGCTTATTTGTAGTAGCCCAGAACTCAAAACAACAAAAATGCCCCTCAACAAATCATAGTATTGCCAAGTAATGAATAATTACTCGGCAGTAAACAGGAAAAGTAAACTCCTGATACACACAACAACATGGGTAAATTTCAAAATAATTCCGCAAAGACAGGCAAAAAGAGGAACATACTACATTATTCCACTTATATAAAATTTTAGAAAATGCAAATTCATCTATAGGAACAGAAAACAGATTAGCTATTGTCTAGGGACAAGAGGAGGGATTCAAAGGCATATGAGGAAACTTTCAGGGATGATACAATTTTCATTATTTTGTCTGTGGTGATACTTTCACAGATAGACACATTTGTTGTGTGCCTATTATACATCAATAAAATGGTTTTTAAAAAAGAATTAACTTGTATATTCAGATAAAATTTGTCCAAGAAGAACAGGAGGAAGAGTCATTCAAAAATAAATGAACTTGCAATGCTTCGCTTCTTAGATACCTACAAAAAAAGATAATGCTGCTACACGTGTCATTATACACTTTGTGTGTTTGTGTGGCAGGAGTGGGTGGTGGAAGGGATTGTGTGTATATTCATATTAAGGGAGGTATCAACAGATGTTAATGTACTATGTTCAGTCTGAGTATACTATCAGATTCTGTGTTATGTATCATCTCATGTAGAAGCATTAACATTTCGCCGCCCTCCCACAAAAAAAATCATCTAGTAATTGAACAAAGAACATATCACTATGCAAATAATTTATATATAACCTTATTAAGAAAAATAAGCATATGATATGATAAAACTAATATGTACATTTCACAGTAGAACAAATAGAATATAATGCAGCAATTAAATTGATTATGAAGAAAAAGCTTATTTTATTTTAGATACCTACTACATAAAATTAAATAAACTAATCAACCAAAAAAAGTGCTACAAAAATAAAAGTGTGTTACAAGATACTTATGGATACACAAAGTAGAGAATTGTGATTAGAAAAAGTCATCTACTTTCAACATTTTCATTGCCTAGATCTAGGAAAAAATAATTCCAAATTGAAAATCACAATTGTTGATTAATACATTATTTTTATATGATGTTTTTGTAAGCTTTTTTCTATTTTTCATCTCCATGTTCCATTCCAAACTTTTCCAGGATCAGTGTGAGTGGTTAAGTAGTTATCCGTAATCCTTGAAAAGCATCCAAAAAAACCCCCAAGCATCCCCCCCAAAAAAACCCAACCAATTTTAATATGAAATGTAGTCACATTTGCCCAATATCATGCATTATTTCCTGAAGAAATCATAGTTGTCTTAAGTAAGTCAAGGCCAAAATCATTTTACTTTTAGGATTTCACCATTGATTAACTTCTTGCTTAATTCAGTAGAAAACAAAAAATATGAATAGACAGTTCTCAAATAAACATAAACATATGAAAACACAATCTTACCACTAATCTAAGAAATACAAATACTAATATTGATAAATTAATTTGGAGATGTTGATTACAACTGTAAATGTAAGTAGTGATTACTTCTCAGTGGTGTTTTGAGTTACTTTTAATTTCTTCTTTGTATTTCAATGTATTGTCTGACTTTATCAATGAACACATATCATTTTCACAAAATGTAAAGTTATCTTAACACCGACTCATTAGTTGTTTGCAGAAAAAGTTGACCAATGGATCAGAAAAGAATTTAGAAACAGACCCAAGCAATTTATTTAATGTGATCAAAGTAGCATTTCAAGTAAGCAGGAGATAGAAAGATTACCAAATAAATGGTACTAGAAGAATTAGCTAGCTAATAAAAATAAGTATTTTAAAAATCTGGATCCCTACCTCATGACTCACTCTAAAATACTAATTCCTGATGCTACAAAGTTTAAAACATAAGAGCATACATTTTTTTAAATCTCCATAATTTAAAAAGAAATAGTGATTCTCAGAACAATATTTATGGTATAACACCATTGATGTAAATCATTGTTTCTATAACATATGCTTTGATTAAAATTATTCAGCGAAGGGATATGCACTTAGTAAGTTTCATTCACCATTATACTACAATTCTCTACCACATTTGCCCAGCATATGACAGGCACAAAAATATATTAGCTGAATGACAAAAAAATGAACCTTTATGCACTGTTGGAACTGTAAATTGTGATAATCATCCTGCAGAGAGTTTGGCAATATGTATACAATAATAATTCCATAATATGAAATGATCATTCCCAGGCCATTCATTTCTAGGAATTTATCTTATGACCAATTTTCAGAAGTGCATAGAAATATATGCTTTAGGTATCCAGGGACACTTTTATTATAGCAGGAAAATAGTATGCATATAAGGGGAGAGATGGTATAGAAATAGCCACCCTATAAGAGGAATCTGTTCAAATAAATTAAGGCAATTATTTCCATGGAATATGCACTTATTTAAAAATAAGATGTTGATCATTTGCCATGAAAATATAGCCATTAGTAACTGATTAATTAAATGAAAAGACTACAAAACATAATATGGTATCACGTAGATAAAGCAGTATGCATAAATAGGCAGGTATGTATATGCACAAGGAAATTTCTAGAAGGAAGTGCATCAAAATGCTAGTAATTCTTATCATTTGGTGGTTAAGATTGTGTGTTTTTACTACTGTTGGAATTTTCTGTATTGAGGTTTTATCTTTGCAATGTTCACAGACTTTGACAATTAGAGATATACAATAAAAGTAAATGCATTTATGAGACAGAAAAGCGTTTCATAACTTTTAAAAAACGTGACTACATGACAAAGCACAAATTCTATAAAGATTAATCTAACTTTAATACAGTTCCTCATTTGAAATGAATTATTTATCATATTTCATATTTTAATTTACCACTTGTATTCTATGACCAGGTTTAGATAGTTAATGTGGTTAAGTAGGTTATTGTCTACATTAGTATGCCAAATTACCTCTGTGGATTTTCCTGTTTCCATAGAATTATCAAGATTATTATCTAAAATAAATATCTAAATGACTGCATCCTGTAAACTTTTATTCAGATGGAGATGAGTAATTTTTGTCATTCTTTAAAATGTGCTAAATATGATCCTTACCTTTCAATGAAAAGTAAATACTCGTCTTTTTTATTGTACCAAGGGAGTTGTTCTGTAGCAGAAAAAAAAAATCCTGTAAATAAAAATAACAAATACCCGTTTTTAAACTTCATTTTGCAAAAGTTTATTCACATATTACTGGACTTGTAAATCATACTATAGTATGGCTAGAAATTTACAACATTAGAAGGAAATTGGTGGCAGATGACATCGCATACACTGACAGAAGATGCACATTCATTAGCACAAATTCCCCCTCCCATCCCACTGTTCTTGGAATTGAAACCTGCTGCACAAAAGTATAACGCAAATCATTTGCTTTTTAACAATACTACCTAACATTTAATACACTCTTTGTTTTATCTACAAGGTTGTTGCAAGCATTGAGAAGGGCTACGTGGCAAGTTAGCAGCAAGGTTGGGGTATATAATATGCCAGCCTAAAAAGAGAAATATAATAAAAATGGTGTAACTGACTCACGGCAACATGGGTTCGCAAACCTTGTAGATGGATATAAACCAGGCTTGCCAAACATCACAGACAGCACTTATTAAATCAGCTTCGTGGAATGCAATACGCCTGCTGTCTAGTCCCTCCCCCCTCTGCCAATAACCGACTCTCCCCTTTTTTATCCGGTGTAAAAATACATGCTCATAGAATATTTAGAGAAAATCGTTTTGTTTTTAAATCGTCCACAGTCACACTACCCAATGACGCCATTTGGACCATTTTCATTCAATTTTTTTTTTTTTTTTCTTTTTTCTTTTACAGATTTTTGTCAAGGACCCGTGACAAACTAAACGGGAATTCAGGATGGGCGGATGGGAGAAGGAAGACACGCCTCTTCTGCCCTTGTTAGGAACTATGGCTGGTATTTTTACCGCATGTCTACGCTTTTTTTTCCTCTTTTAATTATAAAACTATAAATATAGACTTTTTGGGGGGCACGGGGACACCTTCCAGGGGGTCGCACCTCAGCCGGCTAGCAGCGTCTGGGAAGGTGGGCGGAGCCAGGAGTAGTGGCGTTTGGCCGTTCGTTGGGCATACGGTTTGTCAATTAAGGTGGACCAGCAAATGAGGAGCGAACTAAAGGCACACTGGGAACGAAATTAACGGGAGGTCTGACTGCTAGGGGAGGGGGCTCGCGATCTAAAACGAGAAGAGATCTCGGGGTCTCATACTGCGCCATTCGGCTGCGGTACATCTCGGCACTCTGTAGCTGCAGCCGGGAGAGGCCTTGCCGCCACCGCTGTCTCCCAGGCCTCCACTGCCGCTGCCACCTCAGCGCCGGCCTCTGCATCCCCAGCTCCAGCTCAGCTCTGCGCCGCTGCTGCCATCGCCGCTGCCACCTCCGCAACCTGGGCCTCCGCCGCGGCCACTCAAGCATCCGTGAGTCATTTTCTGCCCATCTCTGGTCGCGCGGTCTCAGCGGTAGAGTTTTTCAGGCTTGCAAGATGGCAGAAGCAGATTTTAAAATGGTCTCGGAACCCGTCGCCCATGGGGTTGCCGAAGAGGAGATGGCTAGCTCCACTAGTGATTCTGGGGAAGAATCTGACAGCAGTAGCTCTAGCAGCAGCACTAGTGGCAGCAGCAGCGGCAGCAGCACTAGTGGCAGCAGCAGCAGCAGCAGCGGCAGCAGCAGCAGCAGCGGCAGCACTAGCAGCCGCAGCCGCTTATATAGAAAGAAGAGGGTACCTGAGCCTTCCAGCAGGGCGCGGCGGGCCCCGTTGGGAACAAATTTCGTGGATAGGCTGCCTCAGGCAGTTAGAAATCGTGTGCAAGCGCTTAGAAACATTCAAGATGAATGTGACAAGGTAGACACCCTGTTCTTAAAAGCAATTCATGATCTTGAAAGAAAATATGCTGAACTCAACAAGCCTCTATATGATAGGCGGTTTCAAATCATCAATGCAGAATACGAGCCTACAGAAGAGGAATGTGAATGGAATTCAGAGGATGAGGAGTTCAGCAGTGATGAGGAGGTGCAGGATAACACCCCTAGTGAAATGCCTCCCTTAGAGGGTGAGGAAGAAGAAAACCCTAAAGAAAGCCCAGAGGTGAAAGCTGAAGAGAAGGAAGTTCCTAAAGAAATTCCTGAGGTAAAAGATGAAGAAAAGGAAGTTCCTAAAGAAATTCCTGAGATAAAGGCTGAAGAAAAAGCAGATTCTAAAGCAGACTGTATGGAGGCAACCCCTGAAGTAAAAGAAGATCCTAAAGAAGCCCCCCAGGTAAAGGCAGATGATAAAGAACAGCCTAAAGCAACAGAGGCTAAGGCAAGGGCTGCAGTAAGAGAGGCTCATAAAAGAGTTCCTGAGGAAAGGCTTCAGGACAGTGTAGATCTTAAAAGAGCTAGGAGGGGAAAGCCTAAAAGAGAAGCCCCTAAAGGCATTCCTGACTATTGGCTGATTGTTTTAAAGAATGTTGACAAGCTCGGGCCTATGATTCAGAAGTATGATGAGCCCATTCTGAAGTTCTTGTCGGATGTTAGCCTGAAGTTCTCAAAACCTGGCCAGCCTGTAAGTTATACCTTTGAATTTCATTTTCTACCCAATCCATACTTCAGAAATGAGGTGCTGGTGAAGACATATATAATAAAGTCAAAACCAGATCACAATGATCCCTTCTTTTCTTGGGGATGGGAAATTGAAGATTGCAAAGGCTGCAAGATAGACTGGAGAAGAGGAAAAGATGTTACTGTGACAACTACCCAGAGTCGCACAACTGCTACTGGAGAAATTGAAATCCAGCCAAGAGTGGTTCCTAATGCATCATTCTTCAATTTCTTTAGTCCTCCTGAGATTCCTATGATTGGGAAGCTGGAACCACGAGAAGATGCTATCCTGGATGAGGACTTTGAAATTGGGCAGATTTTACATGATAATGTCATCCTGAAATCAATCTATTACTATACTGGAGAAGTCAATGGTACCTACTATCAATTTGGCAAACATTATGGAAACAGGAAATACAGAAAATAAGTCAATCTGAAAGATTTTTCAAGAATCTTAAAATCTCAAGAAGTGAAGCAGATTCATACAGCCTTGAAAAAAGTAAAACCCTGACCTGTAACCTGAACACTATTATTCCTTATAGTCATGTTTTTGTGGTTTCTTGGTAGTCTATATTTTAAAAATTGTCCTAAAAAGTGTCTAAGTGCCAGTTTATTCTATCTAGACTGTTGTGGTATAATATTCTTCAAAATATGTAAGCTGTGGTCAATTATCTAAAGCATGTTAGTTTGGTGCTACAGTGTTGATTTTTGTGATGTCCTTTGGTCATGTTTCTGTTAGACTGTAGCTGTGAAACTGTCACAATTGTTAACTGAAACAAATATTTGCTTGAAAAAAAAAAAAGTTCATGAAGTACCAATGCAAGTGCTTTATTTTTTTCTTTTTTCCAACCCAGAAGACTAAGCGTTAAATCTGCTTGCACTAGCTGTGCCTTCATTAGTTTGCTATAGAAATCCAGTACTTATAGTAACTAAAACAGTGTATTTTGAAGTTTGACTGCTTAAAAAAGATTAGCATACATTTAAGAATGTCAAGACCATATTTGATTCAACTGAGACCTTGTGTATGTGACATATAGTGGCCTATAAATTTAATGATAATGATGTTACTGTTTACCACCGAGGTGTTAATATGACATAGTATTTTTTAAAAAGTTTCTTCATCTTATATTGTGTAATTGTAAACTGAAGATACCATGTTTTCTTTGTATTATGTTCTACCTTCCCTTTCACTGAAAATGATCACTTCATTTGATACTGTTTTTCATGTTCTTTTATTGCAACCTAAAATAAATAAATATTAAAGTGTGTTATACTATGAAAATCTAGCCTTTTCTCCTGACTATAAAAGAGGGATGCTTATCATAGAAAAAAGTAGAGGATCACAAGGAAAGGGACAATTTAATAAAAAGATAACTATTATTAACATTCTGATGTATTTCCCACATCTTAGCTTTTCTGTTGGAGGACACTCATTCAAGATTTTGGAGAGCAATGGGACAAGGAGAAGGAACAGGGCATGGTGGGAAAGGAAGGGAAAGGTAGAAGAGGGTGGGGATGGGTAAGGGAGGAGGGAGAAAGGAGGGGTGGAGGAGAAAGAAGAGAGAGGTGAAAAAGGGAAAGGGAGGAAGGTGGGTAAGGGAGGAGGGAAAAAGGAGGGATGGAGAAGAAAGGTGAAAAAGGGAAAGGGAGGAAGGTGGGTAGCAGAAGGAATGGAGGAGGCAAAGGGAACTGGAGAGAAGACGGGAAGGAGAGCAGGAGTACCTCACTCACAACGCCACTTATATGTAATACAAGCTATGGAAGGTCACACTACCTTGACTCATTTTTTCTTACAGGTGACACCAGGCTTTCATCTCTTCACCATGCAGCTGGTCACAGAGAGATCCTAAGATTTTGGTTTGAGATAAGTGTGAGGAGCTTCCCTCACACTTAAACTCAGTTTACCAGGGAGCTTTGCACTGGACATAAAGGGAGAAGAACAGCATATAATAAAGTGGTATCTTATTTCACATTTGTCATTTCCGGGTCCACATATGTTTTCCTTGAAAACCTCATAGGAAACTGTAGCCAAAGTAAGACAGGATTTTAGAATTTCTGGCTCTCTAGGCGTAAAATGATCTATAATAGTCTTCCATACCCCACCATATATAGTTTAGCATCTAACTTTTATTCTGCTTAACAATAGTCACTCCTCAATTTCTATAATGTAAAAATATTAAAACCGATGTCATATTTAACCAACCACATGTGTTCAGATAGTTAGGTTTACTTTATGATTTTCCACAACATCAGGAAGCAAATTATTGTTTCTAGCAATACCACAGCGTTTTTTGTTTTGTTTTGTTTTGTTTGTTTTTTGTTTTGTTTTGTTTTGTTTGTTTGTTTGTTTTGAGACAGAGTTTCACTCTTATTGCCCAGGGTGGAGTGCGACCTCCGCCTTCTGGGTTCAAGTGATTCTCCTGCCTCAGCCTCCCAAGTAACTGGGATTGCAGGCATGTGCCACCACACCCAGCTAATTTTGTATTTTTAGTAGAGATGGAGTTCCTCCACGTTGGTCAGGCTGGTCTTGAACTCCCGACTTCAGATGATCTGCCCACCTCAGCCTCCCAAAGTACTGGGATTACAGGCATGAGCCACTGCGTCTAGCCCACTGCATTTTTTTTTTTTTTTTTACAGTGCCTATTTTATTTCTGAGATTTTTGCATCCATGAAGAATGGATATGGCAGATTCACTTATATACCAAAACTAAAATGAAGAATGTAACAAATATAGTGTACCTGGCTCCTGATGCATAGGTACCCAAATTGGATATATACTGTACTTGCCAGACATCACAAAGAGCAGAGCCCTTAAAACTTCTGCATAGGATGCAATATACTTTTTGCATCTTAGAACTCTTAGCAAAGTATTTAACACCTTCCCTTTCTGTGTTCTCTATATTAAAGGAACACATGTTATTATAGAATATTTGCAAAATAGAAGCAGAAATGCAGAAGATAAAAATCACTCAGAAGCACACTATACTAAGATATGCTCTTTTGTGGATTGGTGTATTTTTTCCCAGTTTATCTCTTGATAAGGTTTTATTACTGCTCTTTTTAACTTCAAAGTTAGATCTAGGGACGGGGCAGGGTTTCAGAGAGCCAAAGATTTACGCATCAGTAAAATGGGACACCGGAAATGCAATCAGCCAGTAGTAGATGCTTCAGCCACCTCTACATGTTAAGGAAGGTGGGTAGAGCCAGAAAACTTGTTGGGCTGGCACACGTATTTGGCTGCATGTTTGCCCATCACACTGGCTCAGACAATGAATGATGTTAGAAGGAGCAGCCCACTGGGAACTAAGCTAAGGGGAAGGGAAGATAGTGAGAAGTGTTCAGTGAGTCATCTTCTGCACCTTCCTTACGGTTTGCTGTTTCTTGTTGCTGTAACTCAAAGCTGAGGCCAGCTGCCCCCA